CTTTCCTGTAACTCACTCTGTAGCCCAGGCTGGCCTCGAACTCACAGAGATCCGCCTGCCTCTGCCTCCCGAGTGCTGGGATTAAAGGCATGCACCACTACCGCCTGGCTAGTTTTGCTAAATTTTTAACTGAGTAGTTGACTGGGGGCATAAAAACCAGAGTACAAATACTGAACATTGTGTCTTCCTCTCTGAGATTCTGGTAAGAAGGGAGGTCGCTTACCTTAGCAGAGCGGGACACTGCACCAGCGCCTGTAGTATGTCTTCCACCTTTTTGGGGATATCCCCTTGTCCCTTGTGTAGCTGAGGTACACATGCCTGTGCCAGCTCCCAGTCGCCCCTCCGCAGACACTCACAGAAAAATTCAAAAAGCTGCTCCTCGGTAGCGGTTTCCTCTTTTCCAAATGGGTAACTCATTTTCCCAGCACAGAGTGCAGGGAGGTAGAAAGAGAGGCCTTAGGCGGAATACATTTTTAATTTTCTCGTGCGAGGAGTACCTCCTAGAAACAAGACACCAGCTGAGAAGAAACGAAACTGTTTGGATAAACCACCAGCTACTAGCCCGAAAGAAAAAGGCAGAACTTACTTTTCTAATTATTGTTTTGGGTTTAATTTGACCTGTTACTAACTCCTCTTGAGATCCGTCTCTTTCTCTAAAGGGGTGGATCCCATCTCCTAACGCGGACCCAGTATATAATAATCTTAATATCTGTGTTAGCCTGGAGCGCAGACACATAAATTTACTTCCGCATTCGCTCCTAAACATTTTGCCAGTCGGATAACAAATTTCTAGGTGGGTGCTTTGTCGGTAAGGATGAGCACTCCTTTGGTTTGAGCCTTCTGTTAAGGCACAGGATTAAAGATCAGGAGATCAATCTGGGACTGAACCGGAGAGCCGGGAGGCTGGGGGACAGGGATGCTCCCCCTAGCGGGGTCGTGGACAGCACCCTTGCCGTCTTCCCTGCGCTTTACACTCACCTGCTCCGGGAGTCAAAAGCATTTTAGCTTCCAGGGCAGCCATGTTTGAGCCCAGTCAGGTGACAGATCTCATTGCGAAGAGTGGTGGAAGGGGCTGGGATGACGAATGAGAGCGCCACTCCTATTGGCTTAGGAGAAGGAAGATGCAAATCAAGTACCGTAGTTATTCGAGTCACGTGACAGCACCGGGTCGCTGTGGTGAAGCTACGTAAGAGTTAAGTCCGCTAGCTGCTGGGCTGAGGACCCTTCTTAATCATGATTGCTTCTCCTTGCAACACCTTTAGTTACGCATTTCGGGGGAATTGAGGCCGGGAATAGCTGTGTTTCACAGCCCCGCCACTATCTCAGTGCCAGCCAGTGACAGATGCTGGGGATGTCTCCAGGAGTCCTGGATCCTCCTGCATCATTATTCCATCTACTTGGGATATATATTCATTTATACATAACTATCATGCATATATTATATATTATAACATATAATTATGTATAAATCAGAAGATCGAGGTCGACACAGAAGAGTTGTGCAATCGAAAGCAAAGCGTGAGCAAAGGCTTTTCACAAATTCAGTAATCAAGACAGTTCTTAAGTTTTTCTTACCGCGAATGCTTTACTATTAAACCTACTTGATTTCCTTTATTTCTTTTTCAACTACACTCAGTGGTTTTTTTTTCAAATGTATATTTTAGTTTGAGAAGCTTCAGTTAGCTTCAAATTGCAAAGCAAAACGAACACTAAGCTCTCTTTCCAAAACTGAAATAGGCAGATAGCCCATCCTTTCTCCAACTCCTCAGCCCCAAAAGACGTTTCTTTGGCCCAGAAAGTAACTTAAAATTCGATTCAATAAGGAAAAGAATTTCCAGGCAAGGTTTTCCCTGCTTCACACTCGTCTTGAGAGGTTCTTCCCCCTCGATTTTGATAATCACTACAACGGTGAAATTTAATTGGATTAAGAGGCTAGGCTGAGAGTATGAACTACAATTCCCAGAGCGCAGCGGGGCCAACCCGAACTTTTGCCTGTTTCTGATTGGATGAGTTGGCACAGGACCGACCAACCAGCACTCCAGTTGTTGCCAAAAGTGCGCGCTTTTCGCGGGTAATTGTGTGAGGGCGGGGGAAAGTTTGAAAGTTCGATGCTGCTGACCTGGTACTGGAGTTTTCCGAGGGGGGCAGTTGTGGGGAAGTGGGTGTGCTCATTATCTCGTACCTTCTCTCCGGGCCTGTGGATGTTGATACCGGGTGGCAGAGAGTCCTGGGTACCGGGCACGCCCTCTGCTTCCCGTCAGGGCTCGTCCCTGGAACCCCGGCTTGGGTCCTGGGCTTCCGACTTTCTCAGGGGTGGGTGATGCTTGGAAGCTGCCCTGTTTTATTAGTGCGTTCTGCATGAGGTTTTCTACCTCTTCATGTCTCTCCCTCCGCTTCGGAGCAGTTAGGGATCTAGGCAAGTTTAGGGACTGCCACGCTTTTGGAATCTAAACTCAGATGTCTGGACCGAATGCGGGCTCCATCCTTGGCTAGTCTGCTTGGTTTTCAGCTTAGTGCCTCAGAGTATCCTTATGTGTAAACCGAAGTAAAAACATCAGAAGCATTTAAAACTAGAGTTTTAAACAAAAGTTTAAAACGCGTATTAAGGGCCCAACAAATAATTAGCCCCCCCAAACCCCCTAAAACAGCTGTTTTTGTTACTTCCCCATTTTTATTGAGCGCCTAACATAAACTCAGTCTGAGTTGCCATCTCTTTCTTCAAGACAGACGGGGGAGGGGCGGGGAGAGAGAGAGAGAGAGAGAGAGAGAGAGAGAGAGAAGAAAGGCAAAAGCTATAATAACACACAGATAAGATTAAGGAAGATGTAAGTGACAAGTGTCACAGGAAAGGAAGGGACCGATTGTCAAGGCTTTGTGTGTGGAAGTGGCAGGTTAACCTAACCTTGTGGATGGTCGTGTTAGAAGTACCACATGTTTGTCTATGACGACTGCCTACTTTGAGCATTATGCACTAGCTCTGGAGTAGAAACTAGAATCGCCCTTATTTTACACACGAGGAAAACAGTGCTCTAGGAAATGAAGTAACTTTGCCAGGAAGGCAAATCGGATTGAGCCTTGCAATCTGATATTTGAATGAGAGCTAAGTAAGGGACCCCCCCTTTTCAAGTTTTTTTTTTTTTTTAAATGTGATCCTAAAAGTTTGGAATTGTCATGTGGTCCGGTGGTCCCGTGAGACAGTTTAGGCAATGGAACTGACTTTTAAGCAAGCTACTTCTAGCTGGATTGTGACATTCAACCTACTTTTTTTTTTTCAGGCCAATTTGAGACTTCTCCCTGTCTGCTTCTTCAGCAACTACAACTATACCTGGGGCATAGTTGTAATTATTTGAGTGTGTATCCCTCCACCTTTCATTTGTAAGTATGAAAAAGAGAGGAAATGACTTTAAGGGTTCTTAAAACACTGGGCTCAGCAGAGTATGTGCTTAAGAAATATTGGCGAACAAAACAAACAAATTGAGAACGTTATATTGAGAGAATTTATATTATATTTGGGAGAGTAGGGAAATAACTCGAAGCCATTAACAGTGAGGGCAAGTGATGGGAGTGGTATTATTAAATCAGTGGTTATTGCTAAGGTCTTTGTAATTTTGGCTTGTGTGTGTGTGTGTGTGTGTGTGTTTTGTTTGTTTGTTTGGCTTGAACTTACTCATTAAGTGATGTTATTGCCTAGAACTGCCTTATCTGAAATGCAGTAAATAACCGAATAGCAGATGAATGTTCCTTGGTAAATTTTCTCCTAAGGAAACAATCAGCCATAAGAAATTCCCATTGAGAGAAATAAAGGGAATATGTTTTGTTTCTGTGGAGAAAACAAAAGAGAAGAAAGTAGGAGATGAAGGGAGGGAAGAGAGAGGAGGGGTTTCATGTCATTCAGATGATTTAAGTGTTAAACAGAATTGGGCTATAGTGCTGGTAGTAGATATCATAATTCTTGTATATAGATTTGTTCTTTGACATATAGTTATTGATTGTTATTACTTCATTCCATAGAATAATGAGTTCCTATTCTAGTATTTCTGGAGGACACTTTGCCATATCAATGAGATACACAGCCTCTTCTTTGCAGGCATTATTACAGAGATTACAACAGTTCTAACTCCCCCAAAGACAAGTATTTCATGAGTCTCAGTTGCAAGGTACAAGACCAGACTTTAATTCCACATGAGACAGCAATCAGCTAGTATAATAAGGACACTTTTATTGCTAACACTTATAATAGTAAAGTCTCATTTGATTGAGATTTGTTCTGACTCTTAGAAAAAGCAAGGGTTAAATAAGATTTGTGGTCCTACAATAGCAGTGGTTAAGAGGATTGGTCAGACTGCCTGGGTGGAATTCTAAATCTGCTGTTTATTTTTTTTTCTGATGATAGTGGATAGCTGACATTTGCAGAGTAGCTTTCTCATGTGTAAAAAAGACCACCTACTGTCATCATAATCTGTTGAGAATAGTAATAAATATGTCTATTTATTCTTGTTGAGAGCATGGTTGGTATGTAGCAGATGTCTGTTTGTCCTTGTTACAGTTCAATGCAGAGTTGCTATTTGGAAATGCGTCTTGAAGATTACACAGCCAAATGAAATGTGTAAACAACACTCAATGTCTTAAGATTGTTACAGGTGATGGATCATGTTGGTAGTCAGCTTGACACTTGACACCCCTGAGAAGAGGGAACCTCAGTTGAGGAATTGCCTCCATCAGATTAGCTGTGGGGACATTTTCTTGATTGGTATTGGGTAGAGGAGGGCTCAGCTCACTTTTGAGTGGTCCTACTCCTGAGCCAGAATGCCCGGTGAGCAAGCCAGGGAAGCAAGCCAGTGAGCAGCCTTCCTCTGTGGTCTCAGCTTCTGTTTCTGCCTCAAGCTCTTGCCTTGAGTTCCCGCCCTGGCTTCCACTGACAATGGAATATAGTTTGTTAGCCAAGTAAACCCTTTCTTCCCAAGTTGCTTTTGGTGGGCATTTTATCACAGCCACAGAAGGCAAACTAGCCTGCAGTGTAAATATGAAGTACTGTTACAGTCATGTAATATCAAAGAATTGGATGGAATGTGTTTTCTGAGGTTGCTTTCTTTCTCTGTGTACATGGTCGATAAGCAAGTGTCTCTCCTACTCTTAGTAGCAATCTTTCCGTGTTTTGTTTTGCACATAGAGAAGTTTGAAGGACTTTTTATTTTATAGGGTGTTTTGTATAGTCTGTCCACTATCATTTTTATTACTTTCTGATGTTTTTCAAGATTCTTCTTTGGGAGATCTGGAAAGATGAGCAGCAAGAAACTAAGACGAGTGGGTTTACCACAAGAGCTGTGTGACCGTTTGACCAGACATCAGATCGTTAATTGTCAGGTAAAAATTTATGTATTTGTAATACATTTTACGTACAAATTAATTTTAAGTTTACATTAATAACTGTTAAACTTGGGTCATGAAGACTTAGGGCTGTAGGGGCTGGGGAGATGGCAGAGTCAGTAAAGTTCTTGCCACGAAAACGTGAGGACCTGAGCTCTTATCCCCAACCTGGTCATAAAAGGCCAGGCCTGGCAGTGCACACTTGAACTCCCAACTCCAAGGAGGCAGAGACAGGAGGATCCCTGTGGCTTACCGGGTAGCCGGTGTAGCCAAATTGTGACCTCCACGTGTGTCTCAGAGGTCAGATCTTAAAGAGTGACTGAAAGAGGCATCCAGTGTTGACTTCTCGCCTCTACAACACAAAAATAAAAACGTAGATGTACAAAAACAAGTGAAATAATGGTGCTCCCTGTACATGATTTAGGTTGCATTTGCAGCTGGAATTTTATGCACTGAAGCCCATTGGTTTTGTATTTTTGGGAGAGAATGATCATGGCGTGAGGAAGAATGCCTGTGTCATTAGTTTGGGGTTCCTGAGAAGTTTCACCCACTTAAAATGATTATTTTTATTATTACTTGAGAAATATGACTTAAATGAGATTCCTGCGAGGATGATTTCTCTTAGGAGAGACATTAATATTAGAGTTATTATTATGATTTACTGATGTTAGGCACTGAGCCCCAGGTTTTAGTGTTTGCAGCTGAGTAATCCCCCGCCCAGCAGTAAATTTTTAGGACTGGCTT